TGTTCTGGCTAGGGCTGGGCAACAGGCCACAATGTGATCAACTGTTTCTCCGCGAGTGCTGCAAACTCGACAAATGTCCACAACGTCTCCCCGTCCAATGACCGTGACCTGATAGTGCCTGGTCGCAATGGCCTGATCCTGTACAGCCAGCAAGAGTCCCTCTGTCGCAGGCCTGATCGTTGGCGATTTCAGCCAGCGAAAACTCAAGCCCAGGTCCAAGCCAGCATCAGAAGCTCGTCTCCAGAACTGGCCATGGAGAGGCTTACCTTGGATAACGGCCAGGCACCGGAGACCAACGGCCTTCTTGACAATGACTTTTGTGGGAGTCTCCAAGTCGGGTAGGTCAAGTTCACCCAGAAGTCTGGAGGCTTGACGTGTAACTGATTTTGACGGTGCCACATCATTGTCGTGATGGCGCTTAACAGCAGCCAACAGTGGCACGTTTGGGTGGGCTTGTAGGTACCGCGCCACCCGGACACGGGTTCTATCCAGGAGATCCCGGAATGATAGAATTCCTCGACCACCCATGTCACGAGGCAGGTGGACCCTGGCGGCAGAGTCCTTGGGGTGGCGGGCGTGTTCTTTAAACAGTGCTTGGCGGGTCTGTCGGTCGAGTTCCCAAAGTTTGTCATATAGGCAAATGATGCATGATTGAGCAATGGATGCATGTGAGAGCAAAAATACCGATCGATTTCAAATTTGACGTGAAATTGCGCGTCACGTCGGAAATAACGTGCATCTTAACGTCTCTAATAGAGAGGTTTCTATTTCTCATCGGCCAAAATTTGTTGATTTACAGTATAAGGAGATAAAAAGAAAAGAAGGAGCAAACCAAAAGTAGATGATTATTAGAGAAATAACAATCCGCAATAAATTCTGCAAATACTTTTGCCTCAGTTCTTATAACATGTACGATGAACTAGGCAAAAGAGCATAAAAGCATAGCGTAGGGCCCTGAGCTTCCAAGCTCTCTCGTTAATCTTGCCGATATCCCTGTGACTCAACTACAAAATGACGTGCTGTGTGGCGGTTTGGATTTTGGCATTCCTCCTAAACTCCACCGATTGGAGATGTTGGCGGAGTTTGAGCTGCTGCAGCAGCAATTGTCCAAGGTACCAGCAAAATCTGACGAAACAGCAGCCGCTTGACCGGGCGTCTCTGGCTGCCGAGGCACACAGGTTTGCGCAGACCTCTCCTGACACCCGGTCTTTTTCACTCACACGAGAGCACCTCAAAGTAATGAGGGAGCTTAGGAAAAATCCGGACATCATGATCTCCCGCCCTGACAAGGGCCGGGCAACGGTTATTATGTCAAGGGAGGACTACCAAACCAAGATGATGGTCATTCTTGAGGACAAGACAAAATTTTGCAGAATCGGACCGTGCGATGTATATGATCATACAGAAAACATCGACACTAAACTTAGCAAATACCTATTGTCTCTTTCAAAAACACATCAAATTTCTGATTGTGAGTACGACCATCTGGCGCCGACGGGATCAACAAGACCACGAATGTATGGGCTTCCAAAAATTCACACGAAGAACATTCCCTTACGACCAATACTCAACAGCATGTCAGGATCACCGCCATTTAAAGCATCCAAGTGGCTATGTGCCATGCTACAGCCGGTACTCAACCTCTACAACAGCTACAGCCGGTACGTTATGTATAAACAAATAGATGGCGTTGCCATGGGCTCGCCGCTTGGTCCTGTATTGGCTAATATATTTGTAGGGTTCTGTGAAGCGTCCATTAGTCCATCACTGTGGCCCTCTATGTACTGTCGTTTTGTAGACGATGTGTACTGTCACGATGAGGATGAGGATGTCTGTGGGACTTTTCTACTAACTCTGAATAGCCTCCATCCGGCGTTGAGATTCACGTCGGAAGCGGAACAAAACGGCAGATTATCCTTCTTGGATGTACAAATATCACGCAACATTAACACTAAGAGTTTGGACACCACTATCTATAGGAAGCCAACTTTCACCGGCCTCTACATTCCGTGGGGGAGCTATACTCCAACGAAATCGAAAAGACATCTTGTGAAACCATTAGTTTTTCGTGCGCATAGAATATGTTCCCCTCATCTATTGCAGGACGAATTAGACAGACTGACATCAATATTTACGAACAACGGCTATCCAAAGAAATTTCTGGCCAAGCTAATCAACGAAAAACCGGCGACAGACAAGCCTATCCAATTTGGACCTGACCGTTGCCCAGTGGTGCTCCGTTTACCCTGGGTTGGCGCCGGTTCTACGCGCGTGGAGAAGGATGTTCGTGGTATCGCATGTCCATCTTATCCGTGCGTCAAGCTGTACGTCATATTTGGGACAGTGCGTGTGTTCAGTGTGAAGAAGGACGTTCTATCTACCCTTAGTAAAAGTAACCTTATCTATTTCTTTCAATGCCGACAATGTGAAGGTCGGTATGTAGGTAGAACCCTTCAGCACCTGGGCGCGCGCATTCGTCAACATGTGCCGCTAAGTTTTGTTCCGCTTGATGCGCGTGAGTGTCGTCCTCGCCGTGGTCGTCCTCCAAAATGTGCTGACCAGTCCATCGGTGGATCTTCCTCGTCCCGTGAAGATGTGACTGCACGCCCGTCCTCCTCCACGTGTGTAGGGCAGGGGCCAGCTGAGAACAGCGTGAAAGATGGTGAAAGACCGACACGCAAACCACCGAAATTGACAAAGGATCTGTCGGCGTCGGGAAGGGTTACGCGAAGCCAAGTAAAAATACGGACTGGTGAGGACGCACGTACAACGACAACGGAAGTGACAACAACAGTCAATATTCGAAAACGTGGTAGACCGCAAAAAGGAACCTCAATATCGGACACGGGGCAAGTTGGAGTAAGAAGCTCAATAGAAATCCGCAATGGAGGAGACGTAGCTGAAAGGACGCTGGGCATCGCGCACACAACGGCTTGTGTCAGAAAACGTGGAAGGCCGCGGAAAAGCAAAGAGACGGATAGTGGTGATGCCGCGAAGAGGCGATATGACGGGACATTGGAGGAGACAACACCCGACGGAGCTAAGAATCTCACGTCGTCAATCAAGCAACATCTGTCAGCCCGTACCAATTGTCGTGAGTTGTACAGTGATAATGTGTTCTCAATATTGTCACGTGGTAGATGTGCGTTGCATCTGGCTGTGTTAGAAGCTTTGTATATCCGTAAGTTAGATCCTGAACTTTGCGTACAGAAAGAAAATGTGTTGTCGCTACAATTGTTTGGTGTTACTCCTCGTCGAGGTGTTAACAATGTAACTTAATTTGCTCACTATGTTGTTGTCACTATTATTATTTTCCTTCGAGTTTTGTGTGGTGCTGAACTTGAGAATTTTCCACCTTGTCACGAGTGTTGTTATCTCACATCTTTACGCTATATAAGTTAACTTCTTTCCAACTTGAGCCATTCCCTGTAAAATCCTTGATGAGAAGGGACCGAAAACGTTCGGATACTTTGACAAATGCCGTATTTTGACTGGATTGGTGTTTGCGTGGATACTTACGACCCAAAACGTATCTTCGAAATTAAAATATTATTATTATTATTTGAAACTCGGATGTTGAGCCATAAATAAATGTAGAAAAGAAAGGGACATAATATACGAGTTAAGAGTAACTCTCCATCACTGTAACTGGATATTATTAAACAGTCAGAAAGTGCAATAACTAGGCACAAAACTGACAGAGTACATGTACTGAGACATTCGACGTCCTGACTAGCTAGGTGTCAGGACGTCTCAGTACTCTGTCAGTTTTGTGCCTAGTTATTGCACTTTCTGACTATAATAGTATCCAGTTACAGTGATGGAGAGTTACGCTTAACTCGTATACATATGTCCCTTTCTTTTCTACATTATTATTATTATTATTGTTATAGGCTTTTCCGCGTTGGCTTCGCCAAGCAAGCTTGGCTAGCCTTCGCATAAGCTGCTCCATAATGATGAGACGAAACAATGAATGCATTTATATACGATCTAGGACAGAGCCAAGGTTGAAGATATTTTTGAAGAAAGTTGAAAGTTGTGTTGAGGAACACAAAGTTGCAAACTCTACGAAAATAAACTGCAAGAAATGTTTTGGGGTTGATCTCGTGATTATTGTAGTCACAAGTTGTGTTAGTGACATTAAAGGTTGTGTTTTCACAGGTATATTGTTTACATACCTATTCTTTTACAGGGTAATGTTTTCACAAAATGTGTTAGTCAATGAGTTATGTTATGGTACACCGTACAGCCATGCAGCTGCCACAGGTGGAAGCAGTATTTGGCTGTGATGTATGCTTTTATCACATTGCTCCATAGGTCTTTCCAGCATGCAATACTGGATTCAATGATTTCTACCCTGCTCTTCATTGAAAACACTATCTGCATGACCTCCGAACCATTTACCATGCAGACCACCAGCACTGATCACGTGATCAGGTGCATTGTACACAATTGTGTAGCCTACTTACTCGAACTGTGGTACAATCATGTAGTTAAGCTCCTACCCCCGTCAGGATGCCAAATTATGCTCAAAATTTTCAGCCACCAAATTATGCCAATAATTATGCCGGCATAATCCGCCGGTGCCTATTATTGACATGTATTTTAAACTAAGTGGAGCCCTTACAATTTTGCTTGGCAAGCTGTACCGTACTGAAATGACAGTTGCATGACATGAGAAAACGTCGGATTCATTCCTTCAGTTTTCGGCACAATCATGGATCTCCATTAGAATAGACTACTCGACCAAATCGACGCGTGTACAGGCACGCTACGATCATATAATCTGTGTGACGGTGTGACGTAATTCATCGTTACCCAACAGTTATGGGGTGTACGTCTGAATGCATATGCATGGTTACCATTACGGTCTTCTATGGTTTTCGTATCCGACCGGACCATGACTACTACAGTACGTTGTGAAAACGATGATCCAGCTGAGGGCTATAAGACGTTGGAAATAATAATCGAATCTTCGTGTCTTCCTTGCGTTCCTTGCGTTCCATGTTTTCCATGTTTTCCATGTTTTCGTGTGTTCCGTTTGTTCCATGGCAAGTTGTAGTGTCCGCTGCTAGTCCGCACGTCAGTGGAAGTTATTCGTCCTTAGAAATCTTTCTGTAAAATCGCAATTCAGAATTCTATCCGGAAATGGACGCCACTGAAGAAGTAACGCTGCATGCGCCAGTTCCTGCCGTGGCAAAGGCCGTCAAAGCACGCGCAGCACGCTCCCTGTGCTCCCTTTGTGAAGAGCCCGTTGATTATCGAAAGAAGTACACTCAGGGATCTCTTCTAGGCACAGGGGCATCCGGATCGGTGTTTGAGGTGTGGATGGGAGGCGATATCAGCAGAAAGTTCGCCGCCAAAATCCACAAAGGCTCTCTTAGCGAGGCAGCTGCGAAGGCACAGGTGGAGGAGATTCGAGTGCTGAGACGTCTGAACAACTGTGACCATGTCCTTAGGTTGACGGATGTGTGCGCGGAGCCGGCAAAACCTGAAATTGGAAAGATCCTCGTGCTGGAACTCGGCTCCACACCGTTGACTGACTTCATTAAGCCGAAGTACATTTCAACACGCGTTCCAAACGAAGATGTCGCGAAGAAATTTTCGCAGCAACTGGTTTGCGGTTTGGCCGAACTTCACCGCCTCAATATCGCCCATCGGGATATCAAGCCGGCCAATGTAGTTGCCGTTGTAGACCAGGAAGAGGGATGGCGGATGAAGTATTGCGATTTTGGCCAATCGACCATTGCTGACGACAATCAGCTCCTCCTCGCCAATATACTTCGGGGAACGTTTCCGTACTTCGCGCCTGAAGAGTTCTTTTGCGAAACGTTCAACTTCAAGGCCGATGTTTGGAGCTTGGCGATGGTGCTAGCTCGTTTATGGCGAAAGGGTGGCCAGAAGTTAGTACCGAACGGGTCAAGTGACCTTGCCCTTGTCGATCGCATCAAAGAATACATGCTCAACATCACATGTATTCTTGGCGGCTTCACAGCCAAGACGTTCTGTGAGGAAACGAGAGTGGGCATGGTGCATTACGACCAATATGACGCAGTGTGCAGTGCAGCACCAGCACAATCCAGTCTCAAAATTCAGCTGACTCAAGACCCACACAAGCGGCCTGACTTAAATATTCCTCAGACCGCTGTTGACCTACTGGCGGCAATGTTGCAGTATGACCCCGTAGCGCGACTTTCTGCTGATCAAGCCTGTCAGCATCCCTACTTCCATGAAGAGGAAGCGGCAGCAAGTGCGGATGTAGACAAATGTTTAGATGCACCGTTGTGTTAAGATGTTTCTGCAGGGTACAAGTGAACTGGCGATTCGTTTGATGGGAGAATTGTTTCTATGCCGTGTTTGTCTTTTACTTGAGCTTTTTCGCCTGCCTGATGCGGAGCGGCCATGTATTCGTGTTATACATGTACTTGAGTTTTTTTGCCTGCCCGATTCGGAGCACGGCCACGTATTCGTGTTTTACTTGAGTGCATTTTACCTCGGCAATGTTTTAGTTTCGCTTGAGATCAAAATATCTAGACGATTTTCAATAAAAGGAGTTTTTTGTTTTAAACTCGAGTTTGACTGTAAACCGTCAATCGAGATGTGTATGTTTGCAACTGTCTTGCTAGAGATTGAGTTTTAGGCGACAATCAGTAAAGGAAAACGTTCGCCGCCAAAATCTTCGATGCCCCCTCTCGAAGAACCTGAATGTCAGCCACTCCAAACCAAAGCAGCCGTAGTGCACCATGGTGCCTGGTGGGAGCGGAGCATCTTGACTATCTTGGTAGTAGGAGGTTGAGATCAGAATCATGCGATATCTCAACAACTGACAACTGCGATCATGTCGGTCAGTTGCTGGATTTGTGCGTGGAACCGGCAAAACCTGTTATTGAAAAATGTCGTCCCAGACATCTGTTCAGCACCGTTGTGAGACTTAAGGAAGACAATTGAACTTTCATGTAAAGGTTTGGCCGAGCTTCACCGCCAAAAGAGACGTACACCGCCAAATAGACTTGCCGTTGTGGTCCATTGAGACATTTAGAGGTGGTGAATTCATCGAATGCCATTTCGCGACTGTGCTGTTTCACAATCACAGCTTGATTTTTCGCCGCCTAAACATCCCGCCAGAAGATTATCTATATTTCGACTTAGTGACATGTACATGTTTCACCTCTGCCCCTGTCGCAGAATTTCACTAAAACCTGTAAGCTCTATGCACGAAATCCTTTACCTTGGTGACTCAATCACTCAATCTCTAACGCTTATCCCGATTTTACTGGCCTATTAAATTTTAACTTCGCGAGGCTATTAAATCCAAACTAGTCAAGGATGTGTATGCCTACGGGCAAGAAAAGAGTCTTTGAAGAGAGGAAGAGGTGAGACTGTTTACTGGAGATGCAAGAGACGAGCTGTCCTGCAGAGTGCGCATGAAGACAGAAACAGCGACGAGTCAGGGCTCTTCCCACCACGCGGGGCTACTGGGGAAGTGGTGGGCTGTGAGCTTACCATCTTCCGCAGCTCTGAAACCATCAGTGAGCAGAGCCCGAAATGCAGCCAAAAATGTTTCGCCCACACCAGCTAACTTGGGTGTACTGGTGATACTGAACATGTACATGAAAACGAACGGCGGGGTGGCATTCCTAATGTTTCAAAGTATATTTGATACATGTATTCTGAAGGCCAGTACATACATGTAACATTGTCACTATGTATTTTGGCGCCAGGTGTGAGACGATAATTCGCCGAGATGCTCTGTAGTCGAAAACCTCTCTCCTAATTGGTAATTGCCTAAACTCAATCTGCGGACAGAACTGTTTCGTCCTTTGTGGACTCATCAGCGCAGCACAGAGGAAATGAGGCCGAACCTGGTAGCAATGAATAATATATTTTCCAAAGCCAGATTTCAACCAGGCGCGAACGTACCTAAACAGCAATTCGGCGAAGTGTGCTAGGCATGGCCGCATGGGTGCAAAAATGAAAGGTAAATGTGTATCAAAGCGGTAAGTTTCTGAAGTGACTTACTGCAGGACTTGTTGGCCACTCTCAGGAGATTTTCGTTTCCTTTTTTCCGTTGCTTGGATCCAGCGGTGGTGGCACTCTGGTCCCGATCAGGTGTGACGCTATGGCGTGAACGCTTGGATCGGTTGACTTCCCACCCGCCAGAATCAGTATCATCGTCGCCATGGCCTCCCAGCTGTGGGCCTAGGGCTGTACATGCATCACTGTCTGCCTTCTTGGCCTCCCTATCGGAGTCGCAGGGGAAGTTAGACAGCTGCTGGTTCTCTGGCTTGGATAAGCTTTCATTGTCGACCAATGCTTCAGCATCAGCAGAAAGAGGCAACTCTTCAGACTCAGAGGAGCTGGAGTCGCTTTTGTCAGCTGCTGGGAGATCAGCCTGCTTAAACTTGGATGTTGGGCATTGTGATTGGGACCCACAGTTAATTGGGAACTCGTGGCCTGGCATGAGGAAAACATGGATGCAATGAATGGGATTTTCGGTCTTTGACCACATGCTGGTGAGCTGATCTAGTCACCTCCAACCGCATTAGGAGCTGCATCTGCGCCTTGATCCCTGAAGGGTGGTGGCGTTCCTACGGATGCGGAAAACTCGGCCTCTATATAGAGAAACCGAGTCTCAAGCGAACCAGGAAATTTTTGTCGGAAAACAGGTGGAGAAAAAAGAAACGAGGAAAAGGATAAAACATAGGGGATGTAGGGACCACGTGCTGAGCAACTCAACCGACCAGAGGTCTCGGTGTCAGCGTTGCAACTAGGCATCGAAAAATGGGGGGGGGGCGGGAGGAGTTGCACAAGAACAACTGCAAAACAAACAAAAGCTAATGAGTGTTTTCACACGAAACGCCGAATAACAGGGAAACGAGATTTGTTTGCTTCATTGCTGTGTAATATTTGTATTACTTGCTCTGTCCATTGGACATTCAGCACTGTAAGCAGCCTGAGGACTTTAGACAACTGTATAAAATCCAGCAGGGAGTCGTAAAATTATAATTATGGTATTTTACGACTCCCTGGTGTCGAGCAACGGTCATGGATTAATCAAGTGACCGGTATTACAATGTCGATTATGAGTCTTCCGAAAGTCGATGTCCAATCTTAGTGCACCTGTACATTCAAAACAGCCTTTCCGAGATCACAGGGCTATAGTGTCGCGCGACGACAAAAGAGCCAAGCAGTCGTTCCCAATCTCTTCACCAGCGAAGTGTCTGTTGGGTACGGGTAACACAGGATACGGGAAATTGAAAGATCGTTTGTACCGTACGGTTCTGGAAAATGAGTATACGGTAACGAATTTAGAAATCCAGAACCCACAAGTATGTTTGTGATCCCCGGTAGGGCACTGTCTCGGTAAGACAGGGGTGCTGGGTTCGAATCCGCCTCGTGCATCCTTCTTTTGCAACAAAGGCATGCCCGAGCGACGCTGACAGCAATCTCTGGGAAAATTGAAAAAGAATGAATTAATTATATTTATACGAAAGTCCACTATATTCCCGAATATGTGCGAGAAGTGGTGGCGGCGCCAGGGTGCTCTGCCGACCCTAAAGGTCTCGGCGTCTACGCAGACAAAGCGTGCCATAAATGCCCATGATGCAGTAAAACCATGAGGAGGGGAGGAGGAGAAATGAATAACAGTGAGGAACGAGGACAATTATTATTATTAGACACACTCTCATAGCATGTGACAAGCATAGCTAATGCAGGGACAGAATCCCCTGAGACAAGGGCGTTGAGCCAGCCACGGCAATAGTAAGCTAAGAAAGCAAAGCAAATATGAATTAAAGCAGAAAATGGTTAGATGGTCGTGAGTGGAGCATAGTGAAAGATAACATCACATTGTGGTAAGGGGGAGGGAGGATGCTAGTGAGGCGCTGGTCTAGACCGTTTCATAGGGCGTCGGTGGCTGTTTGCCAGTTCAGGTGCAGCAGATACTTGCTGCATTTTTCCTTGAAGAACTGGAGCTGTCTGGGTTGCAGCCGTGCTGGTAGAATGGTCGCTGGTAGGCTGTTCCACAAGGGAATAATGCAATCTTGGTAGGAACCCTGGAGGCTGCTACGAGTGCGCACGGGCAACGTTGACTTGAGCTGGAGCGGGTGGCAGTGGGCAATCTCCGTTGTTAGCCTTGTGGATCGACCACCCACTGGGCGGGGGTTGGCTGGAGGTGGGAAGACGGGCTTCCGGGGGCTTGTTGTTGGAAGGTGGGACAGCTTGAAGGTGAATTAACCATACTACTACCGACCAGAGGTTGAATTTATTTTACTTTGGTGGCTCAACAGTGCAATGCACTACTACAAAGAGGCCCGAACAACCGATCATATTAAAGGAGATAAAAAGGAAAAAGAAGGAGCAAACCAAAAAACTAGACGAAGTGAGTAAACAACAAATGAAAAAGAAATATTCAATCTTCGGTCAGATACCATTAGTAGTGGTCTTACCACCATATTGTTTACCATCACATTATTTCGAACTAGTTTTCGCACAGCAATCCTCACGAAGCTACGTTATACTTTCTTACTTTATTACTGGGAACACAGCTCTACAAAGAGACATGTGGAGACAAACACAAAACAAGACACAGGGGATGTAGGGACGACGTTCCGATGTACAGGGAGCAACTCGACCGACCAGAGGTCTCAGCGTTAGCTTTGCAACCTGGCATCAAATTAAAGGGGGGGGGGGTTGCGGGGTCAAGTAGCAAAAATAATAGTTTGGTGCGAGAAAGGGGCGCAAATATTGCACCAAATAATATAGACAAATGTTATAACTAAACCGGAAGGGAAAAGAAAGAAAGAAAGAAAACAAGAATCTTAAGAAGCAAAGTACAAGTAGAAAGGTAAAATGGGTCTCAAATCTCAATATCATTGTCACGGGTACTGTGAGAACCACAGCCAGCTCTTTCGGATAAGATCCTTACATACGTGGACCTTGAAGGTTTGGAGGCGCCTTGAATGAGGTTCGTGAAGCAGGAGGTCCGCAGGCAGGTTGTTCCATGGTGTGATAGGGAAGAAGGAGAAGGATCGTAGGAGGTAGTCAGGGGCTGTGCGAGGGGTGTCCACTTTAGCTGGAAGCCATGGTGCATCTGACATACTTGCCGTGTGCACATGCTAGCTATGGCAGGGGGCTTGCTTGGTGGCAGCATGGTCTTTACCTGGGGAGGCCCTGGAATGTAGTGCAGCTTGTACAAAAATGACAGAGCTGCCGCCATTCCGCGGAACTGAATTTTGAAAACATTCGAGAAAGGTACTAATATTAAAAGAGAAATGAAGTGAGTAGTTTGCATTAGTATAACGTAGCTGCCTGAGAGTGTTGTGCGAGAACTGGTTCGAAGAAATATTTTGTTCATCATTTCTTCCATATCACATTTTTCTCCTTCCCTTTTCTTCACCGCCTTCGTATCCACTCCTTTTTTAATACAATAAAACCTTTTTGAAATGTCAGTTCACCTCGTTCTGTTGATCGGAATTCTACTATTGTCACCTCGACGCTCATTTACCATATTACGAGCAGTCTTTTCTCCCTTGTCACCATATCATAT